ATTGCCTCCTTTAAAAAAAAAATCATAAATGGCAAACCTTGTTCAACTTGAGTTCTGATAAAACCATAAGAATACACTGGCTTTATCCACAAGTTCCTACTTAATTTATGCTCGGGGAGGCTTGAGGAACTGCTGAATTTGGAAGGAGGCTGAAGTGTTGTTCAAGAGTCCTTTTACAGTATAACCCGCCTCTGTGCATGAACTGGGCTTGCAAAGCACCATTTTATAAGCATTGTTCACACAAGATGAGCACCCGAAAATAGCAACTTGTTTCCTTGCTAGTGCAGACAAAAAGCAGCAAGGTGAACAGCGGATTAGGTTGATGGGAAGGATGTCTGTGAGGACACGAAACATGCRTTACTGCCATGCAGAACAACAGCAAACGATTTCCTAGAGCTAGTGGAGCAGCTCCAGGCGCTTGTCCCTTTGAGTGAATAGAAATCATGCCAGGGAAGCAGGGAGTCAGCAGGGATTTTGCAGGTGCCCTAGGGGCAGGGATGCACCCGGGTGATGGTCTCAATGACAGGAGATGTCTACTGGTCCAAAGGAGCCTTCTCCTTAGCAGAGAGAGCAGTTGCCATTGGGATGGGCTCCAAAGTGTGCTTTTTAATTTGCTTTTCAATGAGCAGCAGGAGGCAGAGGAGGTGGAGGAAGGAGAGGTGTGAGGAGCCCAGCTTTGTTTGAGAGCTTCCGCTCCCGTATGTGTGTGCAGTGGAAACCACRCTGGGCTTGAGGTGCTCGTTTATCACCAACCCTTTAATGTTTTGACAGGGAAATGGATTCGAGCACACGAGAAACCCAACCCGAAACCGGATTCCATCACAGTGTGTTGTGTGTCTCACTCGAGGCATGTGTTTGCCTGCCTTGTTTTATTGTATCTGGCGCTGGTGAGACAGGCTGTGAGATTTATGAGCTCAAGTTAATAGTAAAACAGCATATTACAGGCTCGGTATTAACGTTCTCTTGCACTGAAGTAGCTGGCTCCTGTGTGAATTTATGCAAGGGTCACCTGTGTTATCTGTTGCTGCTGTAATGGTTTTATAGGGTGGCCCATTAGTCACCATAGCAGGGGGGGAGCAAAACATGGATGSTGCTTCCCTCTGCAAAGCGAAGGCAGAGGGAATGATGAGTCCAGTGACTGCATCTGTGTTTTAGCTGCACCTGCTGTGGATATTGGGAAACAAGGGGAACAAATGGCAGGAGCACAAAGAATGGAAGGAAATAATGGAGGGAAATAGCCCATGGCCATGGTTCAGCTCATGCAAGACATCTTTCCACTCTGTGGGTGCTTGGGAAAGTCTGGGGGTGAACTTCCTCTTGTATCACATGCCAGGATTTATCTGCCCCAGCATGTGGATGCACTGATGTGGGGTTTGTGCTCAAGGTGCCACCAGCGAATGTGGCCGTGAGAACAGGGTAGCAATAGTTTTAATTTCGTAAAACACTGGGGATGGGGAATTTGCACTGGTCTGGGGAGATGGTGAGGAGTAGAAACACGTCCTGRCTCCGCTGAGTGCACGGGTTTCCCTGGTCTGGTGGAGAGCCCATGTCCTAAAGCAGCCAGAGAGGAGAGCGAAATCTCCCCTTRTGCAGCAGAGAGCAGGGATGGAAGCTGCAATCCTAATAGTTCTGATTTGTTCCTTCAGAGGCTGAAATAAGAGGTTAACAGTAAGATGAGAGCTCAGTTCATTGCTCTTGGTGCAGGGCAGGACGGCATTGATTTGTGGTAAGCTGGAGCTCATCCGCGTGCAGCGCGAGTCAGACTCCATCGACGAGCTGTGCAATGCGAGGCTGGAGGAGTCCCCCCCAACACAGCCGTGCTATTAGAGCTGCACGCGCCGAGCCTCACAGGAGCTAAGTCAAAACGACCCTCCCAGAGTTAATGCAACAAAATCATTCGGCATGAATCCTTAAGTGGCTCGTTTAGTCCGTGACTGCCTTGCTGAAAACCACTAAGTTCAGTCTTTWCTGTGTTTGGTCAACTTGATGCCTCCGGATACAAACGTGGGTTGGGGACAGGGGCCACTGTGGGAGCTGGGATGAGGCCTGAGGACTTTGGTAGAATCGAGGCCACCGAGCGGGAGCCGCTGCTCCTGCTGCGGGTGCTTCCACTYGCTTTGCTGCTCCTGACTCGTGTGTGACCCTGTGCTCTCTCTCAAGGAGCGTGAGCTTATTTTGGATCTTTGCACTTCCGTGCCTTGTCCAGGTCTATTCCCGTCGCGCTTTGAGAGCTAATGAATGAACCTGGACCCAACAGCCGAGACGGGGTATGGCCGAGTGCCACGTGGCCAAGCGCTTGGCACCTGGGATGTGACAGCTCCCAGGGTGACTTGCCAAGAGGCACCTGTCTCRGTCACAGGCTCTTATATTGCTTGACAAAAGACAGGGAGCTTAATGTGCTGCTAAAATCTTGGGCACTGACACTGGAAATAAAGTTTCAAGGCCTTATAAGAGTGGTATATTCCACTTTGGTGTTAGAAACCAGAATTGAAGTTAAAACCTCTGATGGGAGTACTCGCTGAGCAGCTTTGTGCAAAATAGAAAATATCCAGCAAATTTGAMCTAAGATAAACTCCCTGGGATGACAGAGGGCAGCCTGTGTGCTTAAAAAGTGGTTGACGGTTTTAAGAAATGCCATATTTTAAAGTCACAACTTGTATTTTTTAGCAAAAGTGGGAATGGGGAGAAAACAGGGCTTTGGCAGACCAGTGCACAGAGCCAAGTGTGTATTGGTCTGTGAACACGTATATCCACGTGAGGGTTTTGTGAGAAGCTGTGAAGTTATGAAAGAGGAAAGGTATTTGCTTTTGTTTGTGTTGAGTATGGAGGTGACAAGAAAGTGCCAGATTTACGTTCTTGTCACACCTGGCAGATGTAAAACGTGCTAAAAGTTGGCTTGCACCCCAGGGCCCCTGGGAGATGGGCAAGTTTCCTGGCTTCTGCAAGCCCCACACTTGATGGCTCTGGGAGTGTTGGTGGCTTTGGTTGCTAGAGCTGTTTGGAGCTTGCCTAGGAGCCTTATTTCCTAATGGTGACATGTTGGAGAAATACAAAGGCCATCTGATGAAGAGTTTGTGCCTCCAAGCACACACTGATAAAGAGGAAAGGGATGCAGCCTTCCTCCAGCTTTTAGCATGGCTTTCCGCACTGAGGAATATGATAGTTCCACTCTCTTGGCAGCCAGCAGCAGAGCTGTGCTGCTTTCTCTGCACATTACAGGAGCTTTAAAGCAAACATGCACACAGCGGAGGTATTGGAAAATCCCTGTGGCCGTTGGTTTCCGAGAGCAGTGTTTACATTCACGTTGCTGCTTCTCAACTTCTGATCAAAAGCATCTTCCTGCTGCCCAAATGAGCAGCCAAGCTTGCCTGGAGATTTGCTTCATCTTCCTAACCTGGTGGCTTGCTGCTTCTTCCCCCCTATTCTAGAAGATGGTGCTGTGTTATTAGCCACCAAAGCTGATATACTTGGGCTTCTGACACCGACAGCAATTGCTCACGAAAGCTGTCAGGTCATGATGAAAGGCTGGGAAAGAGGGGACAGGAATCCCATGCTCCTGGTGCTCAGGACTCTTGATGTTTCTGCAGGGGAAATGAGTTTTCTAATGAGAAATTAAAAGCCTTGCAAGACTGACTTTTGTGCTTTGCGCACTTTGCCTTTTGTACAGATATTCTATTGCCCTTGATGAAGAGAGAGAGACTTGATTCTAGTGTCATCAAAGGGGTGGAGTGAATGGAAGGGAGATGTCCTTTTGGGCAGTGGAGAATGCGTTTTGTCATTCCTACTGATAGAACAAGAACAGTCAAGTGTCTGAACGTAGGAATTGTTGGTCTGCGTGATCCCATGTTTTGTCCAGTCCTACGAACCGTCTCTCCTAGTACCCAGCAGCAGAGATGCAGACGGGAATATTCACAGTAGACAGGTGTAAAGTAACCTGCCCTCCATCAGCACCTTTTCCCAATCCATAATAACTAGAGATTGATCTCAACCCAAAAAGCACCGGGTTCACATCCTTCCACATATATTTGCTTGTGTTGGCTGGGCTTGCTCGAGCTGTTCTTGCTTTCCATATAAATGTGCAGCCTTTGCTCTTCACCTCTGCCCCATCATTTAAGGGCATTACATTCCCTGGGTTTCTCTGGGAGCGTGTTGCTGAAGAGATATTCTCTGTCCTTGGTATTTCTCAGCCTTCAAATCCACCCTGATTCACAGTCAGCACTCCAGCATCTGCTGGATTGGTTTCAAGATTCAGCAGGCTTTTTTGTTTTAACTCTCTCTGCTCTTTACTAAGTTTTGTACTTACTACAGGAATGGGTCTCCCTCCCTCCCTTGCATTTTCAGATGAAACAGAGCTGATCTTCCTTTTCTGAAACAAACTCGGGCAAAGGAATTTAAAAATAAAATAAAAGGCATTATGGTTTCTAGAAGAGCTAATTCAAGCTAGAGGAGAAAATAACACTTTCAAGTATGCAAGGTGGTAATTACCTGCTCAGATAAYCCCCAAAACATGTCAAAAGTTTATTGCAGAATTTTTTTGTGAGAGTTTTTGCAGTCAAATGTGAGAACAGCTGGGGCTGTCACGGTGAACTGGATCATTCCTGGTTCCAGAGCAGGACCTGCTGTCGTTGCCAGTTTGACACATCTGTACTTCAGCCTCCTGTGCGTTGATGAGAGATTTTGTGAAAAGCCAGTGACAAGTGGGCTGTGACTATATTGGCCATCGGTTCAAACCCTGCAAAGCTGCTGCTGTGTTTCTGAGTGAGGACACTCAGACCTATGTGAGCCTCCTTGGATGAAATCCTGATTCCACTGAAGCATCATTGACTTCATCCACGCTAGCACTKCAGCTTTGGAGTTTGGAAATGCAAGGGTGGGATTTACAACCAAACTCTTGACCCTATGGCTAGGCAGACAGGTGAACTTTGTGGCTGAATACAACGTCCTGAGCATTATCTATGTGTGATTTACAATCTGTTTTGTTTGCTCTTGTGTATTGCTATAGAAGCAGAACACGCGTTCCAGGCTAAGCAACAAAATACACGTGAGCCATGGAGACCAACCAGGAATCCTCGCTYTTCCTGGTGAAGATTTTGGAAGAGCTGGACACTAAGCAAAACACGGTTTCTTATCAGGATCTCTGCAAGTCCCTGTGTGCGAGGTTTGATCTGTCCCAGTTGGCCAAGCTCCGGAGCGTGCTGTTCTACACAGCTTGCCTCGATCCTAATTTCCCAGCGACTTTGTTCAAAGATAAAATGAGATGCACTGTAAACAATCAGCAATCAAAGAAAATCATGGTTGCGGCAGATATAGTAACGATATTCAACCTTATACAAATGAACGGGGGCCTGGCCAAGGAAAAACTTCCAGTTGCAAGGCAGAAAGTAAAGAAGAAAGARTCGTTTGAGTCGTGTCGATCTGACACGGAGATCTGCAACGTGGCCGACTGCGTGCCCAACTGTGAGCTCAACGAGCAGGAGTTTAACAGGGGCTTTTCAGCCAGGAGGTCTTCGAAATGTAGAAAGATGGAATGCAAAGACTGCCAGCAATTTGTACCCTCATCAGAACCCAACTTTCTGCTTGGTGTTAATAAGGAGATGAAGGGCCGTGCGGCCTCCCTGGACAGGCTGCAGGCTCTCGCGTCCTACTCCATTGCCACCTCTCCCCCATGCGAGATGCAGAGCACGTATTTCCCAATGAACATTGAAAACGAATCCATTTCTGACCAGGATTCCTTGCCTATAAGTGCAGGTATAAAAGAGACCTTCATCTCAAACGATGAGCCGTTTGTGATGCAGTCTTGTGTCCAGAAACGGAATATATTCAAAGAAGACTTTCATAATCTGATTACCATATCTCCCAACTTAATACCRTCCAATAACAAGCCAGAGGAGCACAGAGAGCCTCAGAACAGGAAAGAAAGCTCTAAGCAGGCTTTCTTCAACCACAGTTTTGAAATGCCATACAGCAGTCAGTACTTGAATCCCGTGTATTCTCCTATACCAGACAAAAGACGAGCGAAACACGAAAGTTTAGATGATCTTCAAGCTTCAACGTATTTTGGCCCAACCACTGTTCTTGGACCCCAGGACACAAAAAAGTGGGCCGGAAAGCCAAGCAAACAAACTGCCTGGCCGGCTAAAAGCTGGAGTTTAAATACTGAGGAGGTACCTGACTTTGAACGATCATTTTTTAATAGGAAGCAGTCTGAGGAGAAGCCRAGATACCAGAGCTCAAACAGCCCATCTCCAAACTTCCCTTCAGCTGACAGGCATCAGTCGTATCTAAACACCAAGGATCAGCAGCCAATTCTGCCAAACTATGCCGTGAAACAAAACGGGCATAAACCCAAGGAGATTCCTTCCATCCTAGATGTGGAGAAACATGAGCCAGTCAAAAAGTTTAAGGATAAAAGCATTAATTGCAGTTCTGTTCAAATCCTAAGCATTGACAGAACCACCAGCGTTGGAACGCAAACGGAGCAGCAAGTTCTKGACCACAAAAAATGCAAGGATTTGTGTGCAACGAGCCAAGCCAAGTATGGAGAGCGACACTCCCTAAAGCAGTCGGATGATGACTCCGAAATTGTGAGCGATGATATCAGTGACATTTTCCGCTTTTTGGATGATATGAGTATCTGCGGATCTACAGGAGTGATGCAGTCTTCATGCTACAACAGCACTGGTTCCTTGTCTCAGGTACATAAATCTGACTGTGAAAGCTCACCTGAGCATAATTTGACGAAAATCTCCAACGGGAACGTCAGTAGCAAATTAGATAAAGTGGTTCGGGCAGATATCAGTAGTACGGATGATGAACTGAAAACAAGCGTCTGCAAATTAGTTTTGAGGATTGGCGAAATAGAAAAGAAACTGGAATCTCTCTCGGGTGTCCGAGAAGAAATCTCCCAAGTCCTGGGGAAATTAAGCAAGCTGGACCAAAAAATTCAGCAGCCAGAGAAGGTCAGCGTGCAAATAGATCTTAATTCTTTGACAAGCGATGCTGCATCAGATGAGAGCAACTCACCGCAGATATTTCAGTGTCACAACACTCCCCATGGGGGCAAGCTGGAGAATAACCCCGAATGGTGCTGTTCAGATGCCAGCGGGAGCAATAGTGAGAGTCTTCGAGTAAAAGCCTTAAAAAAAAGTTTGTTTACTAGGAGGTCATCAAGATCATTAACAGAGGAAAACAGTGCAACCGAGTCCAAAATAGCAAGTATTTCAAACTCTCCCCGAGACTGGAGGGCTATTACTTACACCAACCAAGTTGGCATTACAGAAGAGGAGATGAAGGAGAGAGATGGAGGAGAAAATAAGGACTGGCACAGGAAATCTAAGGAGGTATTTCCAACTTTAACTCTTATAACTAGATCATTCTTAAGTGTTTGTTATGAATGTCTTCCATACTTGTTACAAGCCTCAGGGCATGGCAATACTCTGCCCTGCTATATTATGCCTGTCTTTATTGTTATCATAATTGAGGGATTTTGTACCTATACATTCTTGCTTGGCAGCTGCAATATGGTCAGCTTTCCTAAAAGCACTTCTCTTTTGAGAAGGGAAGGGGCTAATTTGAGTAAAACTTTGGGGAGAAGATGGTGCTTGTCAGCGTTGATAAAAGGGAGGTTAARTAATTAACTTAGTGAAAAGAATGCAAGGAAAATTGTTACAATCAGAAATTCTCCCGTGGTTGTTTCAGAGGGGGCATTTTGAAACTCTATTGTGATTGCTTTTATCAGAGAGGTACGTGCATATTTAAAAGGCAACATAATAAATAGATGGATATGAATTTCTCCAGAAAAGAACCCTTGTGCATGCAGCGCGAGACACAAACTCTAATCATGTTTTCTTTATCTGACTGTCACGGTCATTTACGTGGGTCTTTAATCTCCTCTTCCTCCTGTTCTGGGAAAGCAGCATAGTTGTGGTTTCCTTTCAGYTGTTCAGAAAATTTCTCTTCATCTCTCCTCATAAATGACAGCTGCCATCTTAAGAAATTGCATAGCCCCTGTGGCTGTCCTTTCATTGCTGCTCCATTTAAGGGCAGAGAACCAAAGGAGAGGTAGAGACTGATGGAAACAAGCGTAATTTGAAGGAACAAAAAAWCTTGGGTTGTGGATGGATGAGGTTACTTTTAGAAAGCCAAAACTATGACATTCCTGCAGATCTATCCATACAGGATGGAATGTGGACTTTCATAGTGACTTCCTCACTCCCATGGTGGACCATGTCTAACACKGGGTTAGTACCATAGGGATGTGTAAACCATGGGGATGTGTAAACAGGGTGCTACCTGGTGACTTCCCTCAAGATTTGTTCGTGTTTAGATCTGTTCTGGAAGTAGAAATTTGGAAACCTCAGTGGGGCTGTTTGCTTTTCCAGATCAGCTGGGCTTTTCTGACTGTCCTAGCCATCTGCGGAATAGTTTTATAACTTGCAAGCAGTCCAAAACCTAAATTTCTACTGTTGCATCCACTTGTGTTCAGGTAATGGTGAACATAGAAAATATCTCCCTTATCTGGTTGTGAGAAGAGGGTGGGCAAATAGGTTAAGCCCATCCAAARGCTTTTTTCTCTCTGATACTTTTCTTGTCACGACTTAAGCATTATTGTATGGTGTGTTTGAAAGGAATATTTCTGTCCTTTGTGTTTAACCTCCTCATAGTGCTGTTTCTTCTCTCAAATTCTTTTGAACCTTGTTGCAGGCAGACAGGCAATATGAAATCCCACAGCCACATAGACTCTCTAAACAGCCAAAAGATGCTTTCTTGATTGAACAAGTCTTTAGTCCTCATCCATACCCTGCATCGCTCAAGTCACACATGAAAAGCAACCCTCTCTACACAGACATGAGGCTGACGGAGCTGGCTGAGGTKAAACGTGCCCAACCATCGTGGACCATAGAGGAATACACAAGGAACTCGGGGGATAAAGGCAAAATTGCAGCATTGGATCTACAAGTGAGTTGCATTTATTTCATTTGAATGGTTTGATCACAAATARATGTTGCCAGGATTTGGATAGCTCAAGATGGAGCTGTGTAGTTTTGAGCCTCTAGTCTTGCTGATCCCCATCCATTCTGACCAGGGATAAAGAAAACATGGGGATGTTTGATTGCTGAGATGTTATTCTTGACAGTGTTGGTGCTCTCTGCTCATTCTGTAGTACAGTGGTATCTACTAAGACATTGCTGTGCTGGTAGCTCTAGGGAGGAGACAAACCAGTTCCTGAGCATGGTAAGGCTGAGTGGTGCAGAATCTGACATTTCTGATTTTTCTTTTGTAATTCTTTCTGAAATGCTCTTGGATAATGCAAGTATTAGGGCTTTTCCATTTCACTAGCAACACAACCATGAAATATTTGTGGAGGACTTATCATAGCGCTTATTGAAACACGTCACTGTTGCATTCCTAAAGCGACTATTAGAAACTACAGAAGAGCAGATCAGATCAGTTAGTTGTGTGTTTTGTTGGTGTTTGAGTTCAGCTTCAAGTGTGTTGTTGAGATGAMTCTCTTGATGGTTCCCGTGTGCTCAGCTTTGGTTCACAATGCAGAGCGGTCTCCAAGAGAGCAAACTGGGTTTGTTTGAAACTGTAGCATATGGTGCATTCTCAGAGTAAATGATGCACTTCCAAAAATGAATGGGCCAGACTAGAGCTAGTCCAGAGTACCYCCCTTCCTATGAAGGCAAATGGGTAGATATTGGGACCCTACTGTTTCTGCAGATCTGTTCCTTTCAGGTTGCACAGCTTTGAGGTACCTAGCCCAGCTCCAAGCCTATCAGACTAACCCATAGGGGAGCATTAGGGTCAGCCCAAGCAGAAGTGCTATGCTATTGYCTGAGCCCCCCACATTAGCTGGTTTAAGTTTAAAATGATGAYCCACGCTACAGTACAACTCCCATGGATATTCATGCAAGAATTCGGGCACTGCAAATTCACTTCCTTCCCCAYATCTGGCCAGACCATCCCCTGTTTATTGCTATGGCTAAAGTGCTCTAAAAAAAAAAATAGAGTAGTGCAAAGAATAAGCTGCATTTTGCCTTGGCTGCCCACTGCTCCTTGGGACTCAAGTGTCCCAGAAGGATGGGACACTTATCCCTGGGACACTTCCTATCCCTGTCATGGATCCCATCCCTAGCCTGTATGCAAGAGTAGAAATAGGCTGCAAGGGTTACCTCTGCAGCAGGCAGCCACAAAAACATCTCTTACCTGCTGTGCTTAGGCAACGAGGGGGGTGATATTTGGAAGCAGAGCTCCCCTGGGAGAACTGTGCTCCATCTGGTCCTTGTAGGGCCATTTCGTTCCATGTAAACAGCTCTACGCAACTGCGAGCAAGCCAGAGAAATCGCCTTTATTGCCATCATTTATCTTTAGGATAAAGGTGATAAAACTTTACCAGTTTGATTCGCTCCCTTTCAAAGGACTCAGAAATGCAGTTCTTCTGCAAAGCCCATGTCTAGACTTCATAATCGAGCTTACTGACAAACTTAGAAAAATAGACAGAGACTGATGTGTGGGTTTTTTTCCTAGTGATTAAGTTTATTAGAACTGAAAGTAAATACATTATGCTTTAATGAACATTCCTACATCTGGCAATGAAATGGGAAAGGAAGCTGATTAACAGTAATGGACCTTTTTAATAATGCATCTTCCTTCTGAAGTAGTAAAAAGGTCAATACCCAACCAGAGAGTCCAAATTACAATTTCCTTGGAGCACAGCATGTTTTTTTTTTTATTTTATTTTGCCTGTTTATTTAAAATTTCTCTTGGAAGAAGACCAGCCAACTTGCCAGGCTCATTTGAAAAGGAAGTTGCAAAGTCACAGTGAGGCCAGAGTTCATCCCAGATATATATATAGGAGATCTCTTTGCATTGCTCTTTGTGTGATGGGCACCTATGATGAGATTATTTTCTGATGCTTTTGGAGAAGAATGAGCTTTTGGGTGGGTTTTTTTTTGCAATTTACTCTTCCAATGACTGGAGTAGGTTGTTCACAGACAGAGTGGTGCAGTCTTAAACTCTGTTTCAGCAGGCTGGCACTCTCAGAGAGATCTCTACTAAATGATTGTAAAACTGTTGCTTAATTTTAGCTGTTTATTCTGGAGTAGCTGTAAAATCACTTCTTGTAGCAGTTCCATACATAAAGCAAATGCTGCTTTCAGGCAAAGCAAGTTTCCAGTCAGTAGCTTGTGGGCCACAAAATCTGAATTAGCCAATTAAAGGCTTATTCAAATCCCTCTCAAGTCAGCGGGAGTTTCTTTGTGCTGAATCCAACGAGTTTTGGATCAAGCCCATAAGGACTGTGGGGAAGATGTGTGTTAGACTGTTCTCACTGGAGCATTTTTATGGGAAATCTTTTTTTTTCATTTTTGAAAGAAATGGCCTTTTGGAGCAACGGACATAGGAGATAGCTTCAAGAAAATGCTGTCACTTTTTCAAAATGTTTCCAAAACAGTTTTCAAAATGTTTTTTTTCCTCCTCCATTCACATTTCTGTTTTCTTCCTTCCTGCTGATAACTACAATGTAATACCTGGGGTCCAGATTTTTCCCATTTGCCCCCCATTTTCCCTTGCAGAAAGGATGAAAGGAAAAAAAAAAACAAGGTAAAAATTCAAAGCTTAGAGAAGGGTAAAAAAAGTAGACTAAAAGTAAAGCATTCAGAAGGAGATGCTGATGGAKTTTCCCACATTACATTTCATTCTATAGCCAACTCCGATTCTCTTTACTTTCTGCTTGTTAGCTTGTGGAATGAGAGGGCTGAGTCTTTCATTTTTTAATACTTAAGACAGTCTTGGATGTGTTGAAATGGTCATGGCCTGGGTGCAGGATGGGGCCAGGCAACTGCCTTGGATTAATGGTCCCTGCTCCGAGACTCCTGAGCGTTTGGGGCTCTCTCTGACAAATTCCTCTTGTTGCTATTTCCTGTGCATKTTGCACTTAAAGTTTGTGAATCTTAATACCTACGTGTGGCACAGTATCCTCTGCAAGAGCAAATGTTGCAGGACTCARAATACTCAAGGAATATGAGACCTGCCTTTGCAAGCAAGTTATGGCAGCAAAATGAGGCTTATCTTTGTAAAACATAATTCATAAGGAGTATTTGTTAAGAGCCATTCCCATTAGCTGGGCTTTAATAATTTAAAAAGCAGTAACAGACCGGTAGCTGCTGACATCCCTGCTGTCTGGCAGATTAAAGAGACTTTATTTAAAGGCCACCCAAGCTGACAAAGTTTTCAGGAGACCAGAAMTACTTGAGGAATTTTGCAGCAGAATTATATGGTTTTAGGAGGTTGTATTTTTGGAATATTTTGCTGCAGTTTTCAGCAGCCTTATGGAATTAAGATCAGGAGAGACTGAGCTGAGGAAAGCCAGGTCATCAGCATCCCAATAGCAGCACCAAATACACTTGGGAGACCTTCGGGCCACATGTGTTTTACTTATTTGTTTAATGGCAGATCCCAGACAATTAACAACTGTTTCCTTTTAATTTTTAGACTCAAGAATCTTTAAACCCAAACAACTTGGAATACTGGATGGAAGACATTTACACTCCGGGCTATGATTCCTTGTTAAAACGCAAAGAAGCCGAGTTCAGAAGAGCCAAGGTCTGCAAGATAGCCGCCCTGATAGCGGCGGCAGCGTGTACGGTTATTCTGGTCATTGTGGTTCCCATTTGTACTATGAAATCCTGACTCCACGGACAGAGCTGCGACTCCCACCCGTGTTTATTTGGGGTAGCTCGTGCTGCTTTGCAAAGGTCTGTGGGCAAAACTGTCATGGATTTGCTGCGGAAGAACATCCTGGTGGTATCCTCATGGAGAATGCCATAGCTGTGGGGAGGAAAGAAAAAAAAAAAAAAAGAAAAAAAGACTTTTTGGAAAGTTATTTTAAATAACAAACCATGTGGCAGAGTTATGGGAACGTGGTTCAATTTTTATGCATTTTTAAAAGTGCAATATTTTTTTCTCCTAAAGAGACTCTAGTGTTTTACAGAATCCGAGACTGATGGGAACCCAGGTGAAAGGGGAAGATTTTCTGAGAGATGTTGTGTTTAACAGCGGTGTGAGTACGTGGAGGTAGCACTGCATAAAAAGGAATGTTCTATATGCATTACACCAGGGAGCTGAGGAAGACTGAAAGCTCTCTACAGTTTAGAAGACTCTGAATGTATTGCATTTGTTTTACAGTATTTATGTATTTCATTATCATTTGCCTGAAAGCAGCCTGTGTAGCCATGAACAGAGATCGTTCCTGTGTTCAGATTAAAAAGGGCTCTTTCTATTTGGTCTTGCCCTAAGACCCACTTTATCATCACTGAGTACTTCGATAAGTGCAATGTGCTGCAGACCAAAAATTATGTTTTAAAGCAATCAAAAGAGGTTTTCAGTTGCTTCTCCTGAGTAGCATTTACATAGAGCTGGTAAACACGTCTTGCCAAAAGGGTATTCTTTACCTCCACAGATAGCGAAATTGTCTCAGTTTCGCTCCTGTCAGCAAGCGGAGCTGGCAAATGCAAGCAACGCTCCGTTGCAGTTCTTGTAAATGTAATCTGAGCACTTATAATTTTGTCACCAAGTCTTTGTGCCTTTTTTTAGACTGTAGATTAAATAGAACTGTTTAATTTTTGCTATTTTAATCCCCTGCCATAAATTGCAGCATAATGGGTACTAATGGAGGTTCTTTTCCCGCAAGCTTTCGCTACAGTTCAGAGTGCTTCTCAAATAGCCACGGCTGCTGGTTCCTGGGCACTTATATTAAGGGCCCAGTTTTTCAGCTCTGGTGGAAACTTGCTATTAATGCAATGCATTCTGCAGAGGAGTCCTTTTGCTTCCCTATGGTTAATGTACTTAAGAGCGATAGTTGCCTCTACTGGCCAGCACACAGCCTGTATTCCCTGAGAAGCATCCACTTAGTGCTTGATCCCAAATGCGAGTAGCAGGTTAAAAGGAATTCCTGAGTTATGTCCTAAGTTGCCTCCCGCGCTCGCTGAGGCCAGAATACCCAGACAGTATTTTGCTTATGAAAATTAGAGATAAAGGTTTTTAAAAGAATCTTTTGAGGAAATAATGTGATCTTGCTTGTCCTCCAAAGAGAAGSAGACTCCTTCAGTGAATGTTCTTTCTGTAGGATAATTTGATTTCTTCTCAAACAGCCCCCCTACGTGCAGCCAGGAAAGCCTCTTATTCCTATTCTCCGGCTCTCCGGCTGCAGGGGCTCGCTGGGATGTGCCACGCTCAGTGTTTGTTTCTGGCTGGTTTAAAAATAAAAGACAAAAAAAGAAAAGGAAAATGAAAACGTGAAAAAGTGTGTGGGAGGCAAAGGCTTTGTTGTGACTTGAGAAGTGTGTCAGCCCCTTCATGCAGCTGGAGTGCTCTTGATGCACTGCTTGTGTGCTGTTTTTCATTTAGGAGGAGGTGATCCCTGGCCCTATTGATGGGATGGGGTGAGAGCTGGAAGCACAGGGTTGGGTGTCGCGTTGACAAACGCACAATAGGTACAAGCCCCCATCCCGCTCGCCTGGTTTGAATCCTGACCCAAATCCTGCAGCCACTTCCCTGAACTGAGATTCCTGTTTCCTTCTGGATGCTGCAGGATGGAGTCGCTGTGGAGGGAGTCATTCACACTGTCTATTTTAGGCTGCCTTTAGGCCTGTGGTTATGGCATGATTAAGAGCACCTGAGTTTTTAAGAGCTCAGGTTCCATATGGAGTAAATATAGACAGGAAGGGAGCGCTCTGGAGACGCTTCAGAGCAGCTCAGACCAGGTCTAATATTAGACATGTGAACAAGCTCCAGAGGTATCGCTCTGCAAATACGTGCAATTTAGGTTGAAGGTATAGATTAAAAACAGAACAACTCTCTTCTCCCTGGTTGCAAAAAGCCCTTTCTCATCTCCCCTGGCCGGGCAATCTAAGCCCTGGTCGCCGTCAGGAGCATCGTTCCCATGCTCCATGTGCTCTGTGGTGCCTCTTTCGTTGGTCAGGATGCTGCACAGGCACCCTGGGCTCCCCCTCAGCCCTAAATCCAAACGTTGCCCCCCAGAATCAGCCGTGCTTCCCCAGTTGCAGCTTAGCCATTTGCTTCTAGATCATATCTGAATATCTAACTGGGTAGAAGATGCAGGAAAAGCTGCTGATTGCAGGGACAGGCAGAGGCTGTTCTTGAACTGGCTCCCTTGATTTTGGGACCCCCTTTTCCATCTACAAGGGGATTGCAGGAGCTCTGGCACCAGGTAAATCTTGGCCTTAGGGACACCCCTAGTCCCAGAGGGATTTGAGAGGCTCCAGAGGCATGGGGAAGCGCTCGGCATTCCCGAGCATCCGCGTCATCCCCACCTCAATTGGGCACTTGAGCCTAACCCAGGCAGGGCAGAGACCCTATGTGAAACCCTGACCCTACCAACCCGCCAGGATCTCGTGCTCCACCTTGTGAACCAGTTACCAACTAGTATATACTGTATACTACGTGATAGACTTTTGTATAAAAAAAGAAAATAAATTAAAATTATAGGTACATTGTAATCCTTGGTGTGATTGAAAAAGTGTCCTAGGCTGTATTACTTAATGCTGAGCATATTGAACAGTTTTTCATATTTATGCCTTATAAACTTGATATATTACACATGATAAAATAAAACTGCAAGAATTATATATATACACACACATATATATATAAAAAAAATGCATTTCGGGGCAAATTCCATTTACTCTTCCTAAAACAAAAGAGTGCCGCTGAAATCGGTGCAATAAATCATGTGCAGTGAAGAGCAAGGTCTGTCCCTAAATGACTTTTTAGGATTTTTTTTAATGGGGCTTTGGTTAATGTACTATGTATTAATTTTATTTTATAAAGTTACTGTACAACGTTGCCTTTTGGTTCATTTAAATATAATACTAAATAAACTTGAAAATTACAGCRTCCTAAGCTTTAATTAAAGGGTTGTAATAATTTTTCTCCAATGCTTTTCTTTCTTCCAGGGACATCAAGATGGTCAGAGGATGCGAGTGTCTCAGTGTTAGATAAACAAACATCCTCTCTTGCTCTTGGAAGGATTGCTAAATGATTTCTCACTTGTGAAAAATAAGATGGCAGAAGATAATGAATATTAGGGTTTTTTCCTTTTTTATATATAATTGTAATATTTCATCTTATGGGTTTTTTATAACTCACTAATGCCATTTCAACTATTTTAACGTGGTTATAAATAATATTTTGGTCTCTTTCTCTTATGTGTTTACACAACCATTGTCCCTTTTAAGTCAGTACTATAGATAACTATTATTAGTCAACCTATCAGCAGGCACATGGTTTGCCTAGAATCTCTGTGCAGGTTTAATTAGCTGCTTCTGAGCTGCTAATTATGAAACCAGGTCGTCTGCAGTCTCCAGGTGTTGACACCGAGGCAGCATTGAGGCAACCACTGAAACCTCCCAGCACCTCAGAGGGAGACAAGGGGTGCAGGAAAGGTGGCCACAGATAACCAGCAGKGAAAATAAAACAGAGTAGCACAAGATCTTGATTGCCTTTATCTGCTGCATAAACACTTTTTGAAGCCTGGCTGTTAAAGGAGAGCTTGGTCATGGCAGGATTTCCACGAAAACACCCTAAATTAAATGGTAGAAGGCACTGCTTTGCTGATACTGTGTAGTATGGGGGCTGCTGCAAGGTGGGCACCAGGTTTATTTCACTGCTCGGAAGACCAGATTCACCCCTCGGAGCCTCCCAAGGGCTCTGGCACCGCGTAGCTCTGCCCCATGAGGCCACCRCTGCGGCAAGACGGGGTAGCCGCAGGCCGGGCCGCTGGGCCTCGCATGGAAGGAGSTCACTGGTGGCAACAAGGCGGGCACTGGAGTAAAGCTGTTCTGAATGCAGCTTGGCTCYGTGTCTCTGCCTGACATACACACAAGCAATGCACCCAAAGCGAGGCCATCGGGGCTGTATCCCGTGCTCAGCCCCATGGAGGCCACATGATGGACACCCGTAGTCTGTGGCACGCTTCTGTTCCTGGAAAAGGTCTGTTCTGTTAGTGTCCGATGGCCTTGGGCTCTAGGAGCGCTTCCAAGGAAGGGCTGCTTGATTTCATCTGCTTTTCGCTCGTTATCTCCTCAGGAAAGGGCACTTGTGAAGCTGCTGTGGTACAAATACCTCCAGGCTGCTGCATAATCCCCCTGCCCCAGACCACTCAGAAATGGGGACAGAACCTCCAAGAAAGGGAAAGGTGAGCAGTCGACATCCTGGCCTGCCTTGTCAGTAAGTTCCATTCTGTTACATTTATTTTCTGCCATGCAGCACAAGAGCTGCAAGGCTCTTCCAGAAGCTGCTCTACTCATTTCCCCAGTGAATATATGGGGGGAACTTTCTGTTGAAACGTTGTTACTTTGATCTYAGCTGAAAAATCACTGCTGGGTGAGACCTCGTGGTCCCAGTGATCGGATCTCAGCCAGAAGCAGTTAAGGGATCTTGGTGTGGCCTTTCCTTTCCCTCCGAAACCACAGGTGAGGCTGCTTTGGAAAGTGTGGTCTCACCATGCGGCTGCAATTCCTGTCTGCTCTCATACATCAGGCTATCTACATTGGATGCTGCGTTTTAAGACACTGCCTRGTGTGGAGCCATTGGAAAGCTTTGCTGCAAAGTCGGGACAAATCTCTGCTCATGTTGGAAACCTCCTAATCTACCATCCTGCTGTGTGGACACACTTACTGCAATAAACCAAATCTTTGTTGTTCTGAATGTTTTCCCCAAAAAAAGCTGTATGGGGAGCACCGAGGAGCTGAATTGCCTTGTCTTCCCTTGCCTGGTGGTAAAATATTCTTGTTGAACTTTACCTGCCTTTCCTCTCACTGACTTTTTTCTTGGTTACCTTTGAAGAAGCTCTTAAAAATTACATTACTGAAATTTATGACCGTGCAGCAAATGTGTGCATATGCATTAATTCAGTTCAGGGCCAGCATCTTRGAGCTCCATAGTTAACATTACCATGCAGTTTCTTGTATGGCTAATGGCTGATCAATAAGGCCGGGCTCACAGTTTGCTCACCTTATGTGACTTAATTCCTTGAAATAGTATTTCCTTGAGGAGTTTGCCAAGGAACTGGTAGCTGTTCAAAAAGAATGCATGCAAAACGTGGATTTTTTTTCTTCTTTATGTGGTTAATAAAGCCTTGAAAATCTTGGCTCTGTGAGGTTGCACAATTGGTTTTCAGTTCCTTTGCACGGCAATTAATTTAAATATTCGAAAGCAGATGTCTCCTCAAAATGCAATAGGTCGAAAAAGGGGCCTTTTAGCAATGGTGCTGGTCTGTGAGAGGCTGACCTGGAWGCTAATGTTACCTGTGAGCTATCCCACTCTGCAGAGAAGTGAAGAATAACAGTTTAGTAAATGATTGGGTTAATTGAAATTAAGTACCTGTACACTTGAAAATGCTTTGTTTTCAGCTGAAGGAAAAAGTGGCTTTCTGCAGAGTGAGTATTTTTAGCCTTTGTAACTATTAAAAAAGACCTGCTGCTCTGATAATTCAAGTTGAGAAGAAATGAATGTACGTAAGACACATAATGAATGATAGAGGTTTCGCTTGTTGGCTGTTTGAAGAAATGAGATCAGGGGAATAATTTACAGGACACCAAGGCAGGAATTCACCTATCTGACAGCACTTCACTTGAGGGAGCCTTCGGCCGAGAGCTGGGAGAAATTCCGTGCTCGTAGTAAGAATCCATTGGGTAGAGAAAAGAGAGGGAAAGGGTAATCCCTTTGAAGACTCTTAAGGCAGCACCATATGTATCTTATGTTGTAGGACAAGTCGCCTGAACTCTGTGTGCTTTAGCTGGTGCCAGTGATTCACTGTGTGTCTTTAGGCAGCTCTGGACGCAGAGATTGTGCTCGCTGCGTGCCCATGGCATGCCCAGGAAGCGGAGCCAAGCACAGACTGGGGTATCCAATACGCTTAGAATGGCATTTCTGTGATAATAAATAGTCCTGGCCGGACTGGTTATCAAATCTGTAGCTCTTGTGGTATCAGTGGTGCAACAACCGGGATACAGCGGGCTCTGCTTGTCAAGCTGCTTTGCTGTTGTAAAAATAACGTAACAGGGAAATCTTTCTGGGGAGGTCAATTGGAGAGACAAAAAGCAGGGGAAGGACTTTGGGTTTTGTGTTTTTTTTCTGGGTTTCGTGCCAGCTTGGATCCCAGTGCGGGATTAGTGCTCCAATCGGCAGGCAGACAGCGAGCATCTGCTCTCGGCCACCAGGATCCGAGCGCAGCAGGAGCAGGAAATTCTTGGACCGGTTACCAAGGAATGGGGAAACTCCAGGATACTGTACTCAGGGGGGATTTTTACTACCCAGACATCTGCTGGGTAACAAACGCAGCTAATGATGGTGATAATGTACAACCCGAATTCACTATGAATTCTCATCCATATGCTTAAAACTGTACTTACAGTAGGAAGCAAGCGATAGTTAATCATGAATCAAGGTGAACTGAGTAGCTGGCATAGTGTTAGCCATATATTGTGGAAAACAACGTATGACAGACTGTAATGGATTCCTGAAAAGAGAGACTGCATTTCAACCATTTTTTGGTGAAAAATATTTCTGTCATTACCAATTGCTTTAAAATACTGCTGASTGAACCCTTCATTTTTCTGTAACGTTGTTGACCTTGGAGCATATGTTTGCAGACAGTCAATGAAGACCTGCCTGCTAGGCAGAACACCCCTCTTAGGATTCACTTCTGCTGATCGAGGCAAGTGATTGAAAAGGATTAAGATAAAAGTAACAAAAAGAACCAATTATAACAGTTGCTTGGCTCACTGGTAACACMCAGAAAAATGTTATTTTGTTGATATACTTCTACGGCCTTTCTTCAGTTGTAGGCAATAATTTTGGCAACTAACTTGCCGTGGCCCCAGAAGAGCACTGTGAGCTCAAATATATCTAATATTGAGGCAGGCTGGAGCTGTCCCAGCCCTCTGAGTTCAGGGCAATTCACAGTTAGTTACTGATGAATTATGGTGTGATTTGTCTCGTTGGTGATTCCCTGCTCCCTGATCGCTCCTGCCTGATGGTTCACAGGATGTTTTGGGGTGCTGGTGCTGTATGCAGAGCCCTGGCCACCCAGAGCACAGGGGTTTGCATAGTGGCAAGAGTGCATATTTCTCAGTTACAGCTCTGGGAATATTCCARTTGATGCCATAATCCCCCTGCCCTGCCTGGTCCCCAGCTGAGGAAGGCTTGGAGCCATTTGCTAGCAACAAGGGTTTTCCCGTTGCTTTCTCACGTCTAGCTGTGAGCAGAGGGGAAAAAACCCTGAAGAGCTACATGAAAGAGAGGGATAGCAAAAAGCA